AATTTTCCTTAACTTCCTCTCCCCAGCCTAGACTGGCTAGGGCAGGTACCCTATTACAGAGAATTCATTCATCTTGTGTATTTTTTCTGAGCACTTAATACATTTGTGATTAAATACTTAATATTTTCCACTGGTTTAATGTCTTTTTTCTGCCGATGGAGTTCGGCTCAGGGAGGCTTGGGAGTCCACCTGTCTCTTTCACTGCTGGGGTCTCAGTATGCACTGCGGTGTCTTGTACGTGGATGACACTCTTGTGCATATTTGACTGAAGAAAACCCTCCAGTACTGGAATAAAGCCACAGCCTATCAGTAAAATAAGATAAACATGTGTCTTACCCATGTTGCAATTTCTGTTCTTCCTTTCTGTTGGTTCCCTCAGACAAGCAAACTTTTTTGTAGGGGGAGATCACCGCTCCCTTTTAGAATCCATGATAAACCGTAAAGATGCAAAGATGCAAATACCCCCACGTTTTGTGACGTAATTTCAGTGGTTTCATGGGTTTCCCTGAAGCTCTTGATGTGGAGCTTTAGTGGAACCTGCATCATCCCGAGGTTCCACCCTGTAGGGTTGGTTTTTTGACTGACCTTTTTTCTGTTCTGACAGTATTTGGTATTTCTGCTTTGTGACTTTTTCTCTCGTTTCTGGGACCAGGCATTTGTATTTTATTATGAAAAATTTTTAACATAAAGAAAAGTTGAAGAGAGTGTATTTTTGGACACCAAAATATCCACCACTCATATTCTACAGTTACCCTTTTGCCACATAATTCTCCATCTATCCATTTATCACCTTTTTAAATGTAATGCATTTCAGAGTAAGTTGCCAACAACATTACACTTTCTTCCATATACTTGAGCTTGCCTGTCATTCATTAAAGTTCAGTATTTGTTTACAGGACTCTTTTGAGGTAGAAATTTACAGTAAAATGCACCAATCTTAAGTGCAACATTTGAATATTGACTGTTGTATACACCTGTGTAACTCAAACTCCCATCAAGATAATAGAGTATGACCATCACCCCCAGAAAGTTGCTCCTCAGCATTTTTTTGTTTTTATTTAAGTGGTGATAATTTACTTCTTTGTTATTTTTACATCATGATGATCCTCTGAGTTTGCACTATTTGATCAGCATTGTCTCTCTGATGACAGAACATTAGCCAGCCCAGGATCCTCAAGAATTGACCTAAAACCCAAGAAGATCAAGTAGGAGTCATTAACACAGTCGCCAACCCTGGTGGCTCTGTTGGTGGTGCTCTTTGGTAATTGTCTCTAGGGAAAAGTGGGGGCTGGGCGTGTAGGAGTAATGGCTGAGCAGAAGGAAGTGGGGGTCTTATTAATGCCCTGTGTTCACAAGGTGTCCTACAGGTGGCAACTTAATTTCAGTTGACAAGCTTCTTATCACCCTGTTCTCTTTCAATTTAGTGTTACCACCACACAATTTACTGAGTTGAAGTAAGGAAATGATGATTGTATTGTTTTCCAACAATAATAGTAATGTATCAGCTCTACAACTGGGGACGCTCGCAGCTCTTGGCGCCGGGCCCAGCTTCCTTCAAAATGTCTACTGTTCATGAAATTCTCTGCAAGCTCAGTTTGGAGGGTGATCACTCTACGCCCCCAAGTGCATACGGGTCGGTCAAAGCATACACCAACTTTGATGCTGAGCGTGATGCTCTGAACATTGAAACGGCCATCAGGACCAAAGGTGTGGATGAGGTCACCATTGTCAACATTTTGACCAACCGCAGCAATGAACAGAGACAGGATATTGCCTTCGCCTACCAGAGAAGGACCAAAAAGGAACTTGCATCAGCACTCAAGTCAGCCTTGTCCGGCCACCTGGAGACTGTGATTTTGGGCCTATTGAAAACACCTGCTCAGTATGATGCTTCTGAGCTGAAAGCCTCCCTGAAGGGGCTGGGGACTGATGAGGACTACCTCATTGAGATCATCTGCTCAAGGACCAACCAAGAGCTTCAGGAAATGAACAGAGTCTACAAAGAAATGTACAAGACTGATCTGGAGAAGGACATTGTTTCTGACACATCTGGTGACTTCCGCAAGCTGATGGTTGCCCTTGCAAAGGGTAAAGGAGCAGAGGATGGCTCTGTCATTGATTATGAACTGATTGACCAAGATGCTCGGGATCTCTATGGTGCTGGAGTGAAGAGGAAAGGAACTGATGTGCCCAAGTGGATCAGCATCATGACTGAGCAGAGTGTGTGTCACCTCCAGAAAGTATTTGAAAGGTACAAGAGCTACAGCCCTTAGGACGTGCTGGAGAGCATCAAGAAGGAGGTCAAAGGAGACCTGGAGAATGCTTTCCTGAACCTGGTCCAGTGCATTCAGAACAAGCCCCTGTATTTTGCTGACCAGCTGTATGACTCCATGAAGGGCAAGGGGACTCGTGATAAAGTCCTGATTAGAATCATGGTCTCTCGCAGTGAAGTGGACATGTTGAAAATTAGGTCTGAATTCAAGAGAAAGTATGGCAAATCCCTGTACTACTACATCCAGCAAGACACGAAGGGCGACTACCAGAAAGCACTGCTGTACCTGTGTGGTGGGGATGACTGAGGCCCACGATGGATGAGTGCCCAGGAGTGGTGCTCCTTTGTTTCCAGCTAACGGTTCTAGAAAATAGCTTGTGACTGACAGTCCCCTTGTGCCTGTCCCCGCGAGGATGGCGTTAGCATCACCCCCTCCCCATCCTTATGTCAGTTGCCTAAGCATTGCCTGCCTCTCATGTCTAGTCTCTCCTTTTAGCCAAAGAAATGAACATTCC